TCCTCTTTGGTGAACACATGCTCTCCATGATTGCCATAGTAAAGAAGGCCCCAAGTACTAGAGATGCTGGAGTTATTTTGCCACCCAGAGTAGCAAGGGCTAGTATAAGGCAAATAATATCCCATACCAAGGTACTCCATATTATGTTCCCATAAAAGAAGGGGCAGCTAGGTGTGGTGGCACACACCTATAATTCTAACATCTGGGAGTCTGAAGCTAGCCTGGGTTATATATTGAGACGCTGTCTAAAAAACAAACAACAAAAGAAAACCCACCAATGAGTGTGGCAAACTGCAGACTATAATCAATCGGGATGATTAAGTGATAGCAATGGCAGTTAATGCCTTATAAGTAGTACCAGAAGGAATTCTGGAATCCCTTTAGCATGGAAAGACCCAAGACAGAATCTGGCTGACTTTCTTGCTTCTTGCCTGAATTAGAAATTGTGGGAAATTCTTTGCTGCCCAGGCTTCCTATGATCTCCTCACTCTGGCCCATCCACAGTCCACCTTCACTGCCTGGCTCTATCTGGTACATACCCTAAATCTCACCCAACATTTCTAACCTTCCCTAAAAGCAAACAGGGAAGGCAGGTTTAGTGAGGCCTACTCCAGAACTTGCTTTTGGTAGAGAAGCCAATATGTACTGCTTAGGCCAGTGTGTCTTTCCAGCATCATCTTATATGGCTAGAATGGTAGTTTAGCAGAAGGTGAGGAATGTATTTGCTGGCCCTGATACACGTGCATATAGCTAAGAGATTTGAGACTGGCACACCAGACCGCAATTTTCAGGGAGCAAGCTGGCCCAAGAATGTTAAAGACAAAACAAGTAGAGGTGGGGCCATAATTATGGAGAGGAAGCAAGAGGCTGACTTGTTCACCATGAAAGAAAAATAATTCTCATTTCTTCCTGAAAAGAGAATGATCCTTACAGCTATGTGAAGGTTAAGAAATGCTGGTGCTGCCTTGAATCCCTCAGGGTTGCCACAATGAAGATTCAATATCCTACACATGAAGAGTGTGGAGGAAGAGGGAATGACCTGAGAAGAGGCTGAGCTAGGTAAGTGATATGCTTATCGTTCTTGGAACAAAAAGGCAATATGACTTTTATCTATTATGTTCTACTGACTCGAAAGCTAATAATGCCCTTGAATTTCTGAGCTTGCTAAAGACTGAGAAGATATGAGCTCACATTTGGCCCTTTGTCCTTGGAAAAAACAAGGTTCAGCTGTCCTGGAACCTTGGTTTTTGTTTGGGAGAATTCTTTAAAAATTGCAAAATCTGGCCGGGCGGTGGTGGCGCACGCCTTTAATCCCAGCACGCGGGAGGCAGAGCCAGGCGGATCTCTGTGAGTTCGAGGCCAGCCTGGATTACCAAGTGAGTTCCAGGAAAGGCGCAAAGCTACACAGAGAAACCCTGTCTCGCAAAACCAAAAAAAAAAAAAAAAAAAAAAAAAAAATTGCAAAATCTTACTGGGCTTTTAGTGGTCTCATAAACCCCAGGATGACTGAAGTGACAGGAAGCTGCCACAAGACGGGTGACTAGCAAGTAGGGTAGCAGGTTACATCATAGGAGGTGGGGGGAATTTCAGCTGGGGTGTTGCCTTTAGAATCAGAGTATCTGACAGCTGGGCTGGTGTTCATGGCTTCTGCTTCAAAGAACTGGGAGGAACTGTGACTGAATTGATATACAACCTGTGGGTGTCTGAGGTCCACCAGCTCCAGTAAAAGGTTTGATAGGAAAACGACCACAGTTCACAAGCTCTCTCCCATTCTTCCACAATTCAGGCTTTCTAAAAGTAAGTTCTAGGTGTTTTGGGTTCCGTTGAATACATTGCCATTTTGATAGCACAGATCCTTTGCCTGAGGTGATCTTGGGACAAACTGCACATTTTCATTTAGTTAACGAACACTGGAAGTCAGTTCTATGTGAGCCTGTTCTTTACATGGTAGGTAAGAATAGACATACTTAGGTAGTGGTGGTGTGTGCCTTTAATCTCAGCACTCAGGAGGCAGAGCCAGCCTGGTCTACAGAATGAGATCTAGGACAGGCACCAAAACTACACAGAGAAACCCTGTGTTGAAAAACCAAAAACCAAACCAAACCAAACCAAACCAAACCAAACCAAACAAAAAAACAACAAAAGAATGGACATACTTGCCATGCACTACTATCATTTCAGGGGCTTTTCATATATTACCTTATTTGATGCTTGCTACAACGCCACTATCCCGACTTGTATTTGCCACCAGGCACTGAGGGGTTAAGTCATACACATGGTAGGCCAAGTCTGGACTTAATGCAGATAGGCTCTTGTGGAAGCAGTGACTATGACACAGGTCAGATCCTGTCCTCATGGGGTGGGACAAAACAGATAAGGCTCTGAGTACTACTATTTAAGGTATTGATAAGTGCTCTGAGGAATAAGGGCAAATAGCTGTTTTAAACAGCGTGGCTAAAGAGGAAAACCATACCTCGGGAGTCTGGCTGGATTCCTCTGGGAAGAGGGGGTGAAGGCTGGTTGTGCACCAGGACCAGCAATGGTGTGAACAGTGAAGGTGATGGGGATGAGAGCAGTGAAGGGCCTCTGAGGATCTCTTGAGAATTTCTTGTTTTACTGTCAAGCTGCTTCTTTGAAGCCTCTGGGGGGACTTCAGCAGGACAGTGACTCAATCTGATCCTTTCTTTGGAAAAAGACCACTCTAGTGTGTGAACAGAACCCAGGGGGCACACTGAGGAATTTGACAGCAGTGACAATGGCTAATGCACAGATAGTGTGACAATCTAGTTTCCTCTCTTACTTTAGGCCTTTGCTGTAAGGCCAGCTTATGCCAGCTTGTAGCAAGTTGGCTCAGCGAGTATTCTACTGTGGTGAATGGGGTACTTGGATACAGAAAGATTTGACATGAAAGGGAAGTAAACAGAATTAGCTGCTTGCTCAGGTATAACTGGCTAAGTTTTCCAGTGTAGTGAGTATGCTGCCTTAGTCAGGCCTCTCTAAGATGGGAACATGTGGCTCTACTAGGTAACCATGGAAACCTCGAAAGAAGGCAGTGTGCATCTTTCAGAAGGAAAGTACAGTCACCAGGCTGTCCTGAGGTGGGCATCACCACCTTGCTCAAAGTCCATTTCTCCTGATGTCCCAGCCTGTTCTCAGTGTAAATTTATTGGGAATGTTGACTGACCCATAGTCTGTCTAGTCTTTTTATATTTTGGTTTGTTTTCTCTTTGCAGTTTTGGGGCTAGAACTAAAGATCTCTGACCACAGTTGGCAAGTGTTCTACCATTAAGCCATGACCCCAGCCCTGGAATAGTTTTAGCATTTTAAACCAAGAGGTAATACAGACAATTAAAGATTAGACATGAGAAATGGTGGCAGAGATTACTTATAGGTCCCCTTTCCATTGTAGTTTGTGTTCTGATCATGCTTGCCAATTTCTGCACAGAGAAAGTGCCAAAGACCCGAATCATTGTGCATTTATATAATATACATACTCAAGCTGCTTATCTTCCTAAATTCTACCACTAGAGGCTTCCATGAAATGATCCAATCACCAGAGATTGGAAAGTGCCATTGGCCTAGAGTTTTCCAAGTGACATATGTATCTGTAGTTCTCACCTATATATGTAAATGTGCAGACTGGGCCTTTTCCTGGTGACATTATTACCTTTTCAGGCCTTTAGCTGATGATCATTTCCTAGGCACATCCAAATGTGGCTCGATTATTCTGACTAGACAAGTGCGGGACTCAGAGGATTATCAGAGTTTAATGCTATTCTTTTATTTTTATTTTTTTTTATTTTTCGAGACAGAGTTTCTCTGTGTAGTTTTTGGTGCCTGTCCTGGCTCTTGCTCTGTAGACTAGGGTGGCTTCAATCTCAGAGATCCACCTGGCTCTGCCTTCCCAGTGCTGGGATTAAAGGCATGGGCCACCACTGCTCGGCTTGATGCTACTCTAGAAGAGAGTGCTCCATTATGTAGGCAACAGAAACAGGTTTAATCTTGACACAAAATGCAAATCTCGTTTCTTAAATATCATTTTTTTTGTTTAAATTCTATTTTGAGACAATTGTGAAAAGAGTCAGGGAAAGACTGAATCAGAGGACTGATTGTTGGCCAAGCAGGACTCTCCTAAGTAGGGGGCTCACAAATCCCATTCCAGAATACAACAGAACTTTGGAAATGTATCCCCTCTATACTGCATAAACAAATTTGCTATAAGAGAGAAAACAGGTAAAAACAGAAATGGAGCTGTGCTAATTTAAAGAAAAGTGAATGGGAAGTTTAGTGCAGAAAACCAATCAATAGAAGACTATATCAGTCTTTGATACTTCAATTACTTCAGAAGACGGACATTTCACACTACCACACTAGGCAGGAGACCATGCTTCCATGTGTGAGAGACGCACCTTACAAAGCTCTAGAACAAGAAGTCTGAGTCATAGTGACTCCTGACACTGAGCACAATGAAATCAGAAAGACCTCTTGGGGGACAATGCAGGTCAGCATGTCAACAGATGTGCTCTGTATCCTGTATCTGCAAACACACCTTCCACATGGTAACATAGGTCATGCTTATAGCCCATTCTATTCATCTTAAATTCTGGTGAGAAAAACGAGAAAAAGGAGGATATATTTGTGCTTTGATATAAGTCACATAGCCATCCATGTACATCCTAAAGACACTTGGTTTCAAAAGCAGTTTTCCCCAACTCCCGGTTTCTCATTCTCAAGACATCAACTTTAGTAAAATAGGAGAGCTCTGTTTCCCAGATGAACCAGGCTCTGGAAGTCCTGGAAAGCTGGTATTCTCCTGTAGGATGTCCTTGAATCTGGTGATAGGATAGTTCATCCTGGCATGTCTGCATTAGAAAAGAGGACAGTGCCTCACCACTCTGTGGTGGAAATCACAAACACGAAAGCAGTGATGTCCAATCAAGGAGGGAATGTCAAAGCTGAAGATGCACAATGAAAAGCAGTCTGTCAACGACCCATCTTACCTGTCTACGGATTATTTCAAGGTCTCTTTTGGCTTTATTCACCAGGGCTTGAATTTCTACAGGATCCTTTACATTCTTATTTTCTCGGAAGGCATCTCTTATCCTCCTGACAGCATACATTCTAATGAATTCAGAGAAAAAAAGAGAAGATGTCAGCAGGTATGAGGTTCTGCTTTTGAATGAATTCAAAGCTTTTTTTTCCCTCTAGAATTAACTGTAAAATATTCTCCTACAGATAACCCAATTTGATCTTTGCTTGTCTGTTCTAGGATGGCTAAGCAAGCAGATTTAGGAAAATAAGTCTATCCCAAACAAGTTACATACAAAGGCAAATTGCTGCTAAAATGCTCCTTAGATTACTGGCTCTTTGGAGTTATGCATGTCTGGCTTCCCTCCATTAATATGGATAATTGAACCTTTACTGTGCAGAGACAATCACGAATTCTGAGGACAAATGATGCATTTCATATGCATCTACAAGGACAGTGACCAGCCTTCTAATTCCTGCTCATTAGATGACGGCTGGGTAAGCAGGCCCATGGCCATCTCTGGTGTACTTTTATGACACAGTGTCTCTGTTTCTTACCACACCAACTTTCTCCTCCAAAGCACCTACTTTTTTATGCATAAGGAAAATAGAAATGGCATAAAATATTTTAATTCTGCTTTTCTTTTTGAGACAGGGTTTTGCTATGTAGGCCTGGCTGGCCTAGAACTTGCAATCCTCCTCAGGAATGATGAGATTATATGAATGTATCACCATTCTTTCTAATAAATTTTCTTTTTTGGGGTGTGTGTGTGTTCACAACAGGATTTCTCCATGTAGTCCTAGCTGTCTTGGAACTCGCTCGGTAGACCTGGCTGGCCGCAAACTTAGAGATCCACCTGCCTCTGCCTCCCGAGTGCTGGGATTAAAGTCATGCGCCATCACTGCCTGGCTTAATTCTAATATTTCAATCCACATGTAACAAGACTGATTTCCAGGTGTCATGTTTTTCTTGTGGCTGGTGCTCTAAATCAGGCAAAGCATGTGCTTGACTACTGAGCTCTGCCTGCATCCCTCATTCATTGCTTTAATTCTTCATTCACAATTCATCACAAGCTTGTGTAAGAACACCACAGCCTATAGTAGCCATCAATGCCCTTATTTTTTTTTCTCCCCAGAACAGGTAACTGGTTCAGAATACCAAAAAGAAAAAGTGCTGTGGGAGGACCCTTCTGTACATTGTGAATGTATGTTGCTCTCACTGGTTGATAATAAAAGCTGATTTGGTTTATAGCAAGGCAGAATAAGGCTGGGTAGGGAAATCCAAATGGAGATACAAGGAGAAGGGCAGAGTTTGGAGAGATGAAAGTCAGCTGCCCAAAGAGCAAGATGCCAAAGGACCAGTAAGCCATGGGCCATATGGTAATGCATAGATTAATAGAAATGGGTTAATTGAAATGTAAGAGATAATTAGTAATAAGCCTCAGCCATCAGCCAAACATTTATTATTAATATAAGCCTCTGTGTGATAATTTGGGAAGTGGCTGCGGGACGGGGCAGGACAGAGAAAAGCTTCCGTTTATAAAAAAGAGTACTGCAAGCCAGGCGGTGGTGGCGCACGCCTTTAATCCCAGCACTCGGGAGGCAGAGCCAGGCGGATCTCTGTGAGTTTGAGGCCAGCCGGGCTACCAAGTGAGTCCC